AGACAATGCACAGTGAGATATACATTCTGTAGACAAAACTGAAATTTAATTGAGGCATGAGAAAAGATCTAAAATGACAAAAAAAATCAAATTGGAGAGGCTTGCCAGTATAGCAAAAAAGCACTCAAAAACAAGAGAATTTTTTTTTGTTTTAGCAAAAGGGTCTTGAGTTGCTGTAAGGTCTCTTTTGGCTGAGTAGGTTAAAGTACACTGGACTTAAACAGATTTCTCAATGTAAGAAAGGCACATTTTCTGTATTAAGATTTTTTATTGCCCAGACATCAATTTCTATAAAAAAAAAAACACCAATGTCAATCGTCGTTATCTGTTGTTTTTTTTGTTTGTTTTAATCATGTTCTTTTATTGTACTTTCTCCTCACTAAAGTTTTACCGGATTTAGAATGAGACAATCCAGAATTCATTATTGGTGGATATAATTTTAACATTAGATATGCAGATGACACAGTGTCGATAGCAGACACGGCAAAGAAACTTCAGGAACTCCCATAGAAGATAGTAAAGCAAAGTAAGAAGAAAAGACTAATCATCAATTCTAAGAAGATAGAATTTATGATTGTCAGCAAGAGGAAAAGTCCAAGATGAGAACTATGAAGTGGAGATACCAAAATCAAAAATTTAAATATCTAGGAAGTGCTTTAACAGAGGAAAATGCGGCATCGAAATCCGAAGGCGCATTGGAATAGCAAAAGGTGCCTACCAAAAACTAAGCAAAGTATTAAGAGACAAGAAAATCTTATTAGAAACAAAGAATAGAGTAATGAATTAAAAAAATCACCAATGAATGAATCAGGTATGTCTAGACAAACACACATTTCCACTCAATATAAATATTTATAGTAATAAGAAATACATATTTAAAAAGGTCAGTTGCATGATTTACCACGTTACGAATAACTTCTGGCCATGATTGGATGTATCTGTCTTCTTTATAATGGTGGTAAAAATATCAAATGTTTGTCACATTTGTAATTAGATCTCAGTATATCAGTAACACTAAAGATATAAAGGTATTATGTTATCGATGCCATCAGAAGTTAAAGGAGGACAAAAGGAAGTCCTTCCCATGTTTAGCTTAGTCATTAAAATAACTCATTTTTACTTAGTAACGCCTACTGGTCATGACTTGCTGATGAGGTGCATTGACACAAATATAGAAAATGGTGGAGTAAAAATATAGTAATCCATAATAAAAATCTACTGAAAATATAGAAATAATAGGCAGTAACAAAATGTTTCATATTTCCATGTAATGTTAATTAATACTATTCTGGTAATATATTAGCTTTATCTTTTTAAGGGCATTAACTAGGCAAGTAATTCTTTAAAGCTCTTTTCTTTTTAATTGAGTAAATATCGTTAGGGAAGTCACAGCGGTGATGGAAGGCACAGTGGATAGTGGCTCGAATTGAGGGAACAATCAGTATTAATCATAAATGAAAAAGATTACTACAATTCAGCGTCCGCAGTATTTTAAAATTAATTTTGAATTTTTTTGCATGTCTATAATTTTTTTTTGTAAATACGGAATCCATATACACATTATCAGAAAATAAGAGAGTTAACTATAATAAATTTAAGGCTAAGGCACTTAAAATTCAATAAAATATTAGATTACTTGAATATTTTTCTAAAATTTTAAGATTACTAGTTTGTTAAAACTTCATATAAAATATTACTTTTGGCTATCAATCCCCCAACGTTATAGTGAAATGTATTTGTTATGATATTTTGGCCCGGATTTATGGGAGTTCAGTGCTGTTGTGATGCTGGATACATTGGAAGAACTAACAAGAGGCTGTCAACAGAGATTTCTTCACAGTAATCAGCGGGACGCATTCGAATTAGTCATTCAGAATTATTGAGATGATTTATATAAAATCTAAGCATCCTTCTCTCTATAAATATATATATATATATATATATATATATATATATATATATATATATATATATATATATATATATATATATATAAACGATAGAAATTTTGGGAGGCGCCGCATCGAGTCTAAATAGTTACATCACCATGCCTATTTGGTATGAAGTTTGCGCCGTATCGTAACTGCCTGGGTTCGATTCTCGTCAGTGGATGCGCACTGCTGATGAGTCCCAAAATAGGATGAACGTTTAAGATTTGATAATTGCTTATATCATATATATATATATATATATATATATATATATATATATATATATATATATATATATATATATTCAAACATATATTCTTAAATATAATGAACAATGAATGTCTATTAGAGCCGCAACCGAGTTACGAATTTGCGATCTGCGTCTGTTATTCTTTCTCAAATTTTGGGAACATTCATATCTGTTCGATTTTGTATCCCTGCGTAAACAAAGCAATTTTTAAAGTAATGATGGATTTTTAATTATTAATCCGACAGATTTAATTAAACATATTTTGAGTGGATGCCCATATTTGAGTAGACGCTCCGAAATCTTATTAAAAAAAATATGCTCTCGCCGGCAGGATTCGAACCTGCATACCCCTAGGCAGGAGAATCGGTTGTTAAATTCGACGTACTTTCTCGAGTATTCAAATTTAGAGACACAGAATTGAAGTAGACTTTATAAGTGTTATGGGATTTTTAAAAATCAGTTTATTCAAAGCAAGGCGACAATGCCACTAAGACGCATGGGACTACCGAGTGTGAAATAAAGAGAATTCAGAGGAAACAGAAAACTCAATTATAAGCAGGAAACAAAGGATAAACCTTTTACTTCGGCTCAAAGGACCGGTGAGGAATTTGAACTGGACGATAGGCGAACCCATCTACTCCCTTTGAGAGAAAAAAATAGTAAATAATTTTTTAGAGTTTAGGCAGATATATATATATATATATATATATACAGAGAGAGAGAGAGAGAGTGTGTGTGTGTGTGTGTGTGTGTGTGTGTGTGTGTGTGTGTGTGTGTGTGTGTGTGTGTGTGTGTGTGTGTGAAAGTGTGTGTATATAAATAAATAAATATATATATATATATAATTATTTATATATTATATGTGCGGTACTTATTAGAAAGCGCTCAATATCAGAGATAGAGCTAACATATTTGGTTGGATAGATGCGAGTTTGTGACCCTGGGTTTCACGCTATATATATATGATGATAATGATGATCAGCTGCTTCTTCAAAGATGATAGCCGGCTAATAACGTCCGCTCCCCACCTCATTTTGACTGATGATCACAAAATCGTGAAACGCAGGGTTATAAACTCATATCTTTACCATTGAATATATACATACATTCATACATATCTATATATATATATATATATATATATATATATATATATATATATATATATGTATGTATATATATATATATATATATATATATATATATTCACTATTCACTTTAATCACAAGGTCATTAATCTGGGTCACCGTCTAAGTATGAATCACAAAACACTTTTCGGACATCTTGTGAAAGGCTATTTTTTAAGAATGTTGTCTCGTAGCCATTTTTACGTACAGTGATTGCAGGTTTCACTCAAGTGCCCTATATCTGTAGCCTTGTGTCATATGAAGCAAAGTTTAGCAAATTAAAAATATATATATGGCGCTTATTGTAAAGTAAGTTTGCTATTCGCTGATTAAGTAACAAAGCTTTACTTCTAAGAGGATAATAAGTCAGATAGAGGGTAAGATTTCCTTTGATGTATCTAATATGTAAATACATACAAATAAGTAGTTTTTCTTGGGCAAAGGTTTTAGACCTAAATCACGTTTCTTCATTGTTAGCTTCACGTTGGTCGAAATTCGCAAGGAAGAGGTACCTTGTGAGAATCTGAGTGATTTCACTGGACTGTCTCGGACTGGAGACACGTGAACCCATGTCGGAATATTAAGTCCGCCAGCACTAAAAATCAGGAGGGAAAAAGGAAAAGGAAAAGAAAAATAGAGAGAAAGTAAACCGAAGCATCGGCTGAAATGTGATTACAAAGCCGTGCGCTTTGCGCATGCGCATCGATGCTCCGATTTTTAAAATTGGAGTGATCACATGATGTTGCTGGGACTTCGCTGATCGTCGGCAACAAGGAAACGTATAGGAAAGTTGCAGTGGCGTCAGCTGATTTCGTTCCTCTGCTATCGTTCAAGAGAATGCGATGAAGGCAATTAGAAGGAAAACCGTGACAATAAAGAGTTACGCGTACAAATACAAATATGTATAATATTAACGATTAGCTAAAATGCTACGATAGATAGATAGATAGAGAGATAGATAGATAGATAGATAGATAGATAGATAGATATTAACAGGTAACGATAGAAGGGCAGATATTTACAAACTAAGATAGATAGATAACGATCAAAACGACATATATATGTGTGTATTATTGTTTGTTTGTGTGTGTCTTATTGTTGTGAGGAGACAGATATTAATAGACAAAAGAAAGATATCCTAGTCTAAGACAGATTAAAAAGATCAAACTGAAACACACACATACATATTTTTATATATATATATATATATATATATATATATTTATATATATATATATATATATATATATATATATATATATATATATATATAGAGAGAGCAAGACTGATAGATAGATAATGAGTAGATTAAATTAGATATGAACAGAATTACACACACACACACACACATATATATATATATATATATATATATATATATATATATATAATACAGAGAGAGAGAGAAAGAGATAGAGGGCTAGTTGAAGACTGTTGAGAAACCTACATTGAAAGAGACAACAAACTAAGATACCTAGATAGATATATAGATAGATGAGATTGATAGATGAGAGAGACTCTTTCTCTCTCTCTATCAATCGATAGATAGATAGATTCGTATGAATAGGTAAAGATAGATTGATAGATAGATAAGGATCAGACTGATTTATATATATATATATATATATATATATATATATATACAAACACATATATAGAGAGTGGGAGATCAGGATACATTAGATATGAATAGAATTATATACATATATATATATATATATACATATATATATATATATATAGAGAGAGAGAGAGAGAGAGAGGGGAGAGAGAGAGAGAAAGAAAAGGTTTGAGTGTGATAGATTGCGCTAGTTACATAAAATTCTGCAGTTACATTGCTATAGAGAAACAAATTGAATACCTAGATATATATATATAGAGAGAGAGAGACAGGGAGAGAGGAGAAAGGGGAGAAAAAATATGCATATGATCAGGCAAACATAGATAACCCATTAGACTGGAAATATATATATATATAGTTCAATTAGACCACTAAACAGTAGTATTAAAGCGTTAGAAAATTAATTGACCGTAATCGTCTGAATATACCGAAAAGTGAAACCAAGGTAGCTGAATCAGGTGATCTCCTTATATATATATATATATATATATATATATATATATATATATATATATATATATATATATATGCGTGTGTGTATTCGTATGTGTGTGTGTGTGATAAAATATACTTTTAGATATGTTACATTTATGTGCGAAAGGGACGGGTTCACTCAAGCGGCGACCGTCTGTTTCTTAGTTTAATACAATCTTCATGGCCTGAAGATTTTGACCTCGTGTCTACTTACACACACACACACACACACACACACACACACACACACACAATATATATATATATATATATATATATAGAGAGAGAGAGAGAGAGACTTGAAGGATTGTTGCACGCAATAGCATATTTGACAATTTATCGAGGACGGATACACATTGACCTTCAAAGGCCCAGTTTGGCAAGCTGCCTTCAGATTAACGCAGTAGATTAGACCATAAGGAGAGAATGAGAGAAAGGGAGAGATCCCTAAAAAGGACCCTCGTCTCTTGCGACACTGACTACTATTTCAAGTAACGAAGGCTGCTGACTGGATTTCCTGCAATAAAACGCTTCTCTGAGCGACCGCTTTATTGAATCAATTCGTAGACCGAAGGAGAGGCGGCAACAATATAAAGTTGGTGCCTGTCAGAGCTATCAATCTCACACCGTCATCTGATTTGGAATAAACTATTCGCCTTGACAGGGTATTACAAACTGCACCAATTCTGCGAAAAAATTAAACTATCATTCTGAATCCATTTTGGGAAGCAATACCATAATGTATGCATGGGTAGAATACGGAAATGGTATTTATCTGTGTTTATCTTGAATGAAAGAACATAAATTTTCCTCCGAATATAATAATATATATATATATATATATATATATATATATATATATATATATATATATATATATATTTATTGCAATGAATAATTCGTAAAAAAAGTAGATTAGTAAAGTTAATGATATAAAATGACGAAATCTTCGCAAACCAAAATTTTAAAGTTGCATTAACCTACGAACCACTCGATGAATGTTATGATCTTTGTTTTTAATAACTACAAGCTGTATAAGATCTTTTTTTTAATCTGCAAGTACTTTCAACTGTACATTCAGTCATCCTCAGGTATGGAAGTTATTTTGTTTTTAGTAAAATCCAGATAGCATCAGAGACGAAAAATTAAATGCCAATCAAAATATGTTTTTTTTAGAAATGTGTTATTGTTACAGAAAAAATATCCAAATCGTGTAATTGTCCATCCCATAAATTAATTAATATCTAAAAAGTCCACTACACTAATTGAATTTCTTTTAAATGAAAACACATTGAATTTCTTTATTCCAGGTTTTCAGATTAAACGTTTAGCTATCTTGACAATATTTGCCGTAATATTCATTGAAATCCCCTTTGATTTATTCTGCTAGAAAGAGAACAGGTTAAAATTGTTTTGTGTTTGCCCCACTGTCTTTCTAAATGAGCAATGTCGAGAGGAAAAAGATCATTCAGGCCTTTAGTAATGGTACTAACATTCATACTCTGACTTCTATTTTCAAATTCGATTCAAGAACCATCAAGAGAAAGGTGAATAAGTCTAAAAAGAGGGAAGAGTAGAGAAGGAAACCGGACCAGGAGGTCACAACAGAAAGGGGGGCCCTCCTTTCAACTTAGAACTAAAGAGATTAATTAGAAAAGATCCAACTCAATCCATAAGACGTTTGGTACGTGACGGAGGAGTTTTAATCTATGACAGTCCAAAGAGCAGTGAAAAACACTTGAAAACCTCTCCCGCTCGTTGTTAGAAGATTAGAGGGCGAAGATCATCTTGAATAAGTTGGAAAATGATCATGGAATAATACATATATATATATATATATATATATATATATATATATATATATATATATATATATATATATATCCTTTTATGAGTTAACAAACCTTAGCTATAATTAATTAATGACGAACATGCCATTTTCGTAAAACCCCGGATAATTCCAGTAAGATATCTTTAATCATTTCTAATATACAACAGTTCAAATTTTAATCAAACAGTTGGTATATATTGTCACTATGGATTTCTGGCACGAATCGGGCTGGACATGTCAGTCTGGAATAGAGGCACATTTAAAAAAAAACACTTTGTACTATTCAGCTAGAAAGAGAATAGGTTAAAATTGTTTTGTGTCAGCCCCACTGTCTTATCAACTGTGCATTGTTGAGAGGAAAACATCATTCAGGCCTTCAGTAATGGGACCAAAATTCATACTCTGAATTCCATTTTCTAATTCCATTCAAGAACCATCAAGAGAAAGGTGAATGGGTCTAAAAAGAGGGAAGAGTAGAGAGGAAAACTGGATCAGGAGGTCACAACAGTAAGAATGATCATCGTTTCAATTTAAAGCTAAAAAGATCTAATTAGAAAAGATCCAACTCAATCCAAAAGTAGTTTGGCAGGTGAGAGAGGATTTGAAGTAATGACAAAGCAAAGAGCTATAAAAAAAGAATTTCAAATTAAATCGTACATGAAACGTGTGAGGCACCTTGTTACTCCTGAAAGTTAAAAGTTTAGAAAGGGCGAAGATCATCTTGAATAATTTGAAAAATTATCCTGGTATAATATATATATCTGTAATATACAAACATGTGGATGACAATATATATATATATATATATATATATATATATATATATATATATATATATATATATTTGAACTTAATTTCACCTCCATGAGCTTCCCATCCTTAGCTATGATTAATTACTGACATTTTTGTTTATGATCAATTTCATTTACGATTATTCTGTTAAGCTTGGATTGAGAGTATTTATAAATTTCTTATTCTCAAAGTAGTGTCCAGTAGTGTCTCAGAGAATTCTAGTGAATATCTTTAATCATTTCTAAGGTACAACGATTCAAAACTAAATCTAACAAATAATTTGGGATTTTAATTTATATATATATATATATATATATATATATATATATATATATATATATATATATATATATATATATATATGTATGTCATCCACATATGTGTATATTAGAGAAATATGTGGAAAATCGAATAATATTTAATGCGATGTGATTAGTCTTTAAGGTTTTCATAGGTCTAAAGTGTGGTTCAAGTTGATACGACTACACATGTGTATAAAGAAGAGGGGATACTTAAAAAAATTAATTTTTTTTTTTTTGGTATTTACAGTGAGATTGAAAAAGGACTCCCAATTTTAAAAACTCATAATCTATTTATTAACTATAATTTTTACAATAAATGGATTTGAGAGGTAAGCGTTTTACCTAAAATTCGATATGGGCACCAGATTTCGCTACCAGCTTCTCAAGCCGCTCAGGTATCGCGTCATCTGATTTCACCAGGAACTCTTGTAATATGAAAAACATAATTTCTTGTATTCGCCCTTCAAGATCTTCCAATGACGTAATGTCATTTGCGGCTGCGTGCCATTGAAAATTTTATTCCGTGCCACATGTGGTACGCGTTCCGTAGGCTGCTAACCCTTATCCTAAACGGCGAAAACTTTTTCCTGCTTTGTCATAGATTTCTCTAAAATTGTTCTTAATATATAAAAAAAATTATATACCGTTTCCTATATATATATAATGGCCACGTGACCGAATTGTAAAAACTTTAATTTTCTGACCATGTAAACCCGGATTCGAATCTCACCATGTTCGATTTGATAGGGAGGTGGCTTCTTTAGGTTATCGGGTCTGGAGAAGGCGATCTAAGTGGGTGGCACATATGAAAAGTGCCTGAAAACTATGCCACAGGTTGACACAAGAAATTGGGTAGTTGGACCACTTTGCAAGGTGTCGATGCTTGTGCTAGCACAAAGACACAAGTCATCGTGACCGAGTGTTCGAGCGCGCTCTATTCAGCCTATTGATCACGCTAAACAAGGCGCTCTCTCCCAGAAACTGTCACTAATGTCCGCTCAGCATGGTTGCAGTCTAAAACACAGTCGACTGCAATAGGGAGGGGTCAGCTATTCAAATATATATATATATATATATGTGGGGTGTAAATAAAGGTCAATAAATTTAATTGTGTAGAATTTGAGATTATTAAATTATTATTTATGACCTCTTTTATTCCGGCAAAATGGATAATGCGATACTGATCTTGCGACAAGAGTATCGGAAAATAGGCGACATATCTAAGTACATACACATATATATATAAATACTTACACTCACACAGACAGACATACACACACAATAACATATATATATATATATCCGCCCATATATATATATACATATACATATGTATATACATATATCCAAATATATATAGGGTGCGATGGATAAATTTTCGTCTAAATTCTATTAAAATGAAAATAACACTTGAATTTCCTTTTAACAGATATATTTACCAAAATTGCACAAAAATATCTTGAAATACTAAAGAGTGAACGCATTCAATAAAAACGCCTTGGCTTCAACTACGGCCTTCAGATGACTTCAGAATCTCCTGCAACTCTTCGGGACGGTCTCCTTCTTTATGGTGGTGATTGCCGACATAATCCTTGCATTCAGTTCATCTTTGGCATTACGAGGAGCTTTGTTTGTTACTTGCTCAATTTCAGCCAACAACTAATAATCAACG